TTACAGGACTTTCCTGCCTGGAATGGCTTTGAACCACGATCTTCAGATCTCAGACTCCTGAGTAGCTAGAATATAGGCATAAGTCACTAACAGTTGGCATGTAAATGTGCTTTAAGATACCAAATAAAATACTGAAAGCTGCAGAAGTGCCAAGTCATTAGAATAACAGCAACTCCTCAACAACAACAACAACAACAAAAAACTCTAAAGGAAAGAGGTCATGGGGTGATGTATTTTTAAGCCCTGAAAGGAAATTATTGCCAGTCTAGATTATTGTACCCTGGAAAGCTGTCCTTCAAGATTGAGGGAGAAATAAAAACCTACATGATAAAACTCAAAAAGTTTCATGACCAGCAAGCCCTTGTAAGGCAAAAGATACTTAAAGGAGTTAACTATACACTGAGGAGGAAGCTAAATCACCATAATACTATAGGTATAGGTTACACATTTCTGACTAGGACTCCTAATTGCTTAGGACGTGCAAGCAAGAATTGACAAATGGATTGCATCAAATTAAAAAGTTTCTGCACATCAAAGGAACAATTACAGAATTAAGAGAGTTCTGTAGAATGAGAGAAAAACCTTTGCCACCTATTTAGCAAAGGGTCATTATTCATTATATGTAAAGAACTTGTATATCAAACACCAAAAGAACAAATGATCCAGTTAATAAATAAGTAAGTGAGTTGAACTGGCAGTTCTCAAAAGAAGTATGAATGGCCAACCAATGTATAAAGAAATGTTCAGCATCCTAGCAATAAAGGAAATGCAAAACAAAATGATATTGAAATTTTTATCACCCAGTCAGAATGTGTATCAAGACAAATAACAAATGCTGGTGAGGATGTGGGGAGCAGGAACACTTACACTTAATAATAAATGGAAGAGAATGAGAATATAAACCCTTATGTAAATTAGCATGGCCACTAGGGAAATCAGCACAGAAGTTCCTTAAAAAAAATCTAAAAATAGAGTTATCAGTAGTCCTGCAGTGGTCCTGGGGATATATCTAAAGGAATGTTGTCAGCATACAACACAGATACCTTTCATATCCAAGTTCTTTGCATCACTGTTAACAGTGGAATCAGTCTAGATGCTTATTAACCAATAACTGGATAAAAACATGGTATGTATACACAATACTCTGAAGAACACCAGATTATATCATTGCTGGGAAATGATTAGAATTGGAGATCATGTTCAGTGATATAAGCAGGACTCAAAGATAAGTATCATGTCTTACCTAAAGAAACAGGACATAAATATAAAAAGGGGAGTGTTCAGGGAACTCACAGAAAGGGTGAGGGTGATGGGGTGGTAAATATGATTAGAGTACTTCATATGCATGTATGAAAGTAGAATAATGAAACTCATTAAGATTGTGCAAAATGAAGAGGAAAGGTTAAGAAAGAATAGAGGGTGTGAATTTGATTAAAGTAACATACATGTATGGACATAGCTCAGTGAAATCTCTTTATACTATTAATATATCCCAATAAAAAAAATAGAGTCTTTATTCCAAAATTGGAAGAAAGTGAAATGAAGTCTTTGGCAAATCACTAAAGATGCAGTTACAGTATTCTTGATTGTTACCCTTCTTCTGTCTGAAAACAAGTATCTTCCTCATGAAACATTGTATAATTGCAGTACTAAGGAAAAGCAGATTAGCACACAAAATAGGATTGAATATTCCTAAGGGTAATTGTGTCTAGTATTAGTGAAATAGAGTTCCAGATTAGTTGGCTGTCCATTTTTATACTATCTCAAGATAAATATTCAAAGATTAGACTGAGATCTGGGTGTTGGTGGCTCTATTCAAAGATTAGACGAAGAGCTGGGCGCTGGTGGCTCAAGCCACTATGATCTCCTAGCTACTCAGGAGGCTGAGATCTGAGGTCACAGTTCAGAGCCAGCCCAAGCAAGAAAGTCAATGAAACCTTATCTCTAATTAATCACTAGAAAACTGGAAGTGGTACTGTGCTAGAGTGCTAGAGTGCTAGCCTTGAGCAAAAGAGCTTAGAGTCAGTGCTCTAGTCCTGACTTCAAGTGCCACAATCAACAACAACAAAAAATTAATTAGACTGAGAATAGATGATTCAACTTGGCTGAATACTATTTCATTGTGTTTATTTACTGCATTTTCTTATCGATCAACTGATGGACCCCTTGGTTGTCATTTATAGCTATGTGGATGGAATTGGAGGTAACTGTTAAGTGAAGTAACCAAGGTATAGAAAAACAAGTATAGCGTGATACCATTTATATAGATAGAACCTATGTAAATGAGAGAAATCGAGAGTGAAATAGTGATTGTCAGAGTTGATGGAGTGGGACAGAGGGATGGTGAAATGTTGAACAGTAGTTACGGTTAATTAGACCAAGAGGTTCTGGTGTGCCATTGCGTGGTAAGGTACTAAAGTGTATACTTCACAAAGTAGAAGAAAGGATTTTGTAAATTTTCACCATAAAGAAAAACATATTTGAGGAGATAAATGTGTTTAACTGGATATATCAGGCAATGTATACATGTATCAAAGTATAGCATTGCACCCTATAAACATGTACAGTTTTTATTTTTAATGCCTTAGTTTACATATTTTATTTTTTGCTAGTCCTGGGGCTTGACCTCAGGGCTTGGGCATGGTCCCTGAGCTTCTTTTGTTGAAGGCTAGCACTCTACCACTTGAGCCACATAGTGGCACTTCCAGCTTTTTCTGTGTATGTGATACTGAGGAACCGAACCCAGGGCTTCATGTATGCTAGGCAAGCACTCTACCACTAAGCCACATTCCCAGCCCCATACATAATTTTTTTAATGACTAAAGTTTTATGTATAACAGTTGTGAAAATTTATTACTCTGTGTATGGAAGTTTTTAAGTGTGATGGACAAAAACTATAGTCCTAGATGTTTTTAGCAGTTTGGGTGGAGATATGGTAGACTTGTTACTGTGAATTGTTTCTCTTTGTTAAGGACCTACAAAATAGTAGGGTTTGTACACATCCCCTTTCTCTGCTGAGAAATCTTGAAAGAAGGCAGTTACTCTGTGTGAGTGGACAGAAGTTTCAGACACAAACAAATGCAATCACTGATGGAGCAGTTATTTCAGAACTGGGGCAGGCTGACTTTCCTTGCCTGTGGCTTTGCCACGGTCTTTTTTTGGGATAGGGTGGAGCAAGGGAAGAGAGGCGAAACGCTGAAGATTGAAGAAAAGGAAATCACCCTTATTATCATAAATGGCTTGTGGAATAGGAATCCTGGTGTGTTATTTGGGGATATATTGAGAAACTGGTTTTATAAATTAGAAGATTGTATCAAAAGTGCATTTTCTGATGGATACAGAATTACTCAAGAGTTTCCCTGTAGGATACTGACCCTGAACAAGAACGTCAGATTCAACTAACAGTCACCATGTATTTACGGTATTCTTTTAGAGCTGTATGCTTATCACACAAAATGACTTAAAAAGTGTTAGTGGTTTATTAGGTATTTTCTCCCAGGAAGGCTCTACAAGGTCAGTATATAGGAAAGGTGATGTGTTTGAGGTAGATTCTGCCCTTGGAGGTGAGCTCTAGAGAGCCAGGAGCACTAACAGTTACATTGTAAAATGTAGAGAGAATTTGTCAATTTGTAAAAGTTGATGAGAAGAATGTATTTCGCTGAGCTCTTGAATTTTAAATTATTTTATCATTCATTAAAAATTTTTCTTTTTAGTTGTGAGAAGAAAGCTCTCTTCCATGGGAGCTTGAAGCAAGAGTCTGAGCTACAAGATGAAAATGGGCACCAACATTTCAGAGCAGATGAAATGTGGGATCTAGTGGTTGAGTTGAGTGGGATGGTTGGAAGTAACACCAAGGAGTAAAAGAAACAGGAAGTCTTGGGCTTTGGGGCATAGTTAGGTGGTAGAGAGCTTGCCTAGTCTGTAGGAGACTCTGCATTCAATCCCCAGCGACACCCACACCCACACCCACAAACACAATATGAAGTCTTTTGAGAATAGTCTCTTAGTTTATAATGAAGTGATATTCATAATGCCCACATTTGTAGGTGTATAAAAATGCTTGTCTGCATTTCTGCTGTTGTTAAACTTTGAACCTCTTCAGGCAGTGGAGTATTTTATTTTTGCTGGTGTTCAAATGCCGTATGTTAATGTTTTACTCTGTGTACAATAAAATGAGAATTATTATTGGTCATGCAATTAAGGTTGTCAGTGATGATATAATTTGTTGGAATTTGGGAGATGGAATTTACAGCAGAAAGAAGTTCCCTGTGGATATTTTTCCTTTCGTAAGATGGAATTCTATCAAGAGGTGTGAAATAGTCTATCAAAAAGTGAGGAATAGTCTATCAAGAAGTGAGATCTATTCCATTAAGAAGTGAGAAATTTGCAGAGACTTGGCAATGTACAAGATATCAAACATGGTCATTAAGCTTATTTAAAAATAATTGGTCCAGTGACTTTGGTCTTAGTAAACTACTATTAAGCAAACTTAAGTGGATAGAGACTCAGGGTCCTGGTGAGAAATACAGGACAGTTTTTATATAACATCAGCTAAGGAGTTAAGTATCTGATAGCCCTTCCATTCTGACAGAAAGTGTTTAAAGAAAATGATAATAGGTCTTTAAAAAAAACAAGAATCCTATTCTCACTAAATGATACTTAACAAGCAATTTTTTTTTTTTAACCATGAAACATATACCTTCTTTCTCCTCCCAGTAAGCAGGGGTTAAAATTGGTAGGTACCCACCTCTACCCTAACTTAAAGCTCATGTAATTCTGTACACTAAAATAAAACCTCTCGGATATCCATATTATCTAATAAGGCTTATCTTTGGATGTTTATTTTGTTTTGTTTTTTAAATTTCTAAATGAGTCAATTTTTGGTTTCCTAGTAAGAAGTAAATCATGATATAATGGTTACACATGTGGACAATACTCAGAGAATAACCATTAAAGAACCAGTACTTGGACATGTTTGCTTACTTTTGTTCTTTTTCTAGGAGCCAGTGTCCGAACATTCACTCCATTTTATTTCCTGGTGGAGCCAGTGGACACACTCTCAGTTCGAGGCTCTTCTGTTATATTAAATTGCTCAGCATATTCTGAGCCTTCGCCAAAAATTGAATGGAAAAAAGATGGGACTTTTTTAAACTTAGTATCAGATGATCGACGCCAGCTACTTCCGGATGGATCTTTGTTTATCAGCAATGTGGTGCATTCCAAACACAATAAACCCGATGAAGGTTACTATCAGTGTGTAGCCACTGTTGATAGTCTTGGAACTATTGTCAGCAGAACGGCCAAGCTCATAGTAGCAGGTAAGATTCATGAAGTGATTTACTTGTATTTCCAAATTTTTAAAGGATGTAAATCTAGACTGGATATGGTAGCACGTCCCTGTGATCCCAGCTAACCACGAGGTCCTTCTCAACCAGTGTTAACCAGGCATTCAAGTGCCTGTTTTCACAGCCACATATTAGATCCAGGTAGAGTGATCTCAATCCAAGACTGACCCAGTCAGGACAAGTTCCTGTCCAAAAAGTAAACTGAAAAGGACTTGGGCATGGCTCAAGTGGTAGAACACCACCTGCTCAGCAAGGTGAGGCATTGATCTCAAATTCCAATAACTCCACAATGAAAAGAAAATCTAATAAAATTAGTATGTCCTGGATTGGTTTTCATTTAGCATTAATTGTGCCTATACTTTGTGTGTGGGCTCACTGCTGTATGGAATAAACTAGCACTTTTCTATTTGTCTGAGGGTTTAAAGTTGCAATCAGTTACTGAGCAGTTCTTTTATACTAGGAAATGGCACAGGAACTTTACATTGGAAATGGATCATTTGGGGCTGCTTTTGTTCTACTTAGTACAGTTTCGTAAAGATTTTCAATAAAGCCTGAATCTTGTTTTTTTTGTTTGTTTTTTTTGGTTGGTCGTGTGGCTTGAACTCTGGGCCTGAGTGCTGCTCAAGGCTAGCACTCTACCACTTGAGCTACAGCCCCACTTCTGGTTTTCTGGTGGTTTATTGGACATAAGAGTTTCACGGACTTTCCTGTCCTGTCTGGCTTTGAACTTCAATCCTCAGATCTCAGCCTCCTGAGTAGCTAGGATTACAGGTGTGAGCCACTGGCGCCCGGCTGAATCTTGTTTCTTTTATGTCCTAACCAAGGAATAGATATTTTTTTTGGGGGGGGGGGGGGGTCCGGTCGTGGGGCCTGAACTCTGGGCCTGGGCACTGTCCCTCAGCTCTTCAGCTCAAGGCTAGTGCTCTACCACTTGAGCCACAGTGCCACTTCTGGCTTTTTTTTCTTTTTGCTTATGTGGTGCTGAGGAATCGAATCCAGGGCCTCATGCATGCAAGGCAAGCGCTTTACCACTGAGCCACCTTCCCAACCCCAAGGAATGGATATTTAATTAGAGAGATTGTTCTAAAATTTTTGTAGAATATACATTTACACACAAACACAGAAAGATGAGTACTAGAAAGTTGCAAAAAGATTATTCACATCATTTCAGAGCATCTTTGTTCCAATAATGAGACTTACCTGTAAGGCAAATTAAGGATCTAGAGGAATTAGATGTGGTTCCTAAATAAACCATGCTCTTTTTAGGTAGACAACAGCATTCTTCAGATAGTGCATCTTTATTTGGGTACTGGATGAAATCATTTTTGCAAAGGGCCGTGTGTCAGATGATAATTTCTTTTCATGTTTACATTCACCTTGGTGAGAAAACTGAGACAGCAGCCTTTTATTATTATATTTTTTTCTTGTCTAGGTCTTCCGAGATTTATCAGCCAACCAGAACCTTCCTCAGTTTATGCTGGAGGCAGTGCCATTCTGAATTGTGATGTTAATGCAGATTTGGTCCCGTTTGTGAGGTGGGAACTGAACAAGCAGCCCCTTCTTCCGGATGACAGAGTTGTGAAGCTTCCAAGTGGCACACTGGTTATCAGCAATGTGACTGAAGGAGACGGGGGACTCTATCGATGCATAGTTGAAAGCGGAGGGCCACCGAAGTACAGTGATGAAGCTGAACTGAAAGTTCTTCCAGGTATGAACTCACTGTCAGGGCAGGATGATTTGTGCTGACCGGTGGGTAAAAACCACTCTGTGTTTTTAAATAAACACTGCTAATATGTGGTGCAAAATATGGCTGTCAACATAAAGAGAATCACTTTCTTACAGGGGCCTAAAGAAGCTATGCCTTAACAATCACTGGAGTAAATGTATTATTAAAGATTTATGGGCTGGGAAGGTGGCTCAGTGGGTAGAGCGCTTGCCTTGCATGCCTGAGGCCCTGGGTTCCATTCCTCAGCACCACATAAGCAAAAAGAAAAAGCCGGAAGTGGCGCTGTGGCTCAAGTGGTAGAGCGCTAGCCTTGAGCTGAAGAGCTGAGGGACAGCACCCAGGCCCAGAGTTCAGGCCCCACGACCGGACCCCAAAAAAAAAAAAAGATTTATGAAGTAATAAAGTACATTCACTAGCTAATGGCATTCTTCTTCCTGGAGAAAGTAGTGTCAGTCCTGTGTTCTTGGTCAATCCTCTATTGTAGTGAGGTCTGTGTTTACTTGTAAGAATCAGAGACTCACTCAGGGTGGCACATATGAAGGCTGGGCACGGTGGGAACTGCTCCTATGGCAGCTCTGGAAATACTGGCAAGCAAGAACTCTTGGATATCTGGTGTTCTCCTCTAATGTGAGCTCAGCTCCCCTCTTTCTTCCCTACTACCTCCCTGCTGGCTTCCTTCATGGTTGCTTTTGTGTGTTTTGCCAACTCTTAATTCTTCTTTGTGCTCATCTCTTTCTCTCAGTTGGAACATATAGTAATGTCTCTTGATGACATCCTGCTTCTCTAAAATGCCATGTTTGGGTACCTGGCTTTTTCCTTCTTTCTCATTTCAACTTTCAGTTCAACTTTACAAATATAATCAGACCACTCTACATTGTGTAGACCGTTTTGTTTGCTTGTTTTTTTAATGTGACTGCTTCATCAGCTCATTTTAAACTTATGGACTGGTTTGCAGAATGAGTCCAATGTTATAAAGCTGTCACTTAAAAAAGAAATTGGGGGTGGGCAGTACTGGGGTTTGGACTCAAGACTTCATACTTGCCATGCTGGTACTCTGCCACTTAAACCATGCCTGTAGGCCTTTTTGTTTCTGCCATTTTGTGTGTGTGTGTGTGTGTGCGCGCCGTGCGTGTGCATGCCAGTCCCAGGGATTGAACTCGGGGCCTGGGCACTGTCCCTGAGCTTTTTTCCTCAAGGCTTGAACTCTACCACTTGAACTCTACCTTCAGCTTTTTTGGTAGTTCATAGGAGATCAGGGCCTCACAGATTTCCCTGCCTCGGTTGGCTTCAAACTACCGTCCTCCAACCTCAGCTTTCTAAGTAGTTAGGATTATAGGCATGGACCAGGGACTCTTGGCTTTTCCTGCCAATTTTGAGGTCGAGTCTCACTTTTTGCCAGGAATGTGCTAGATTGCGATCCTCCTATTTCATGGTTACCTGGAATGACAGGCCTTTTCTGCCCACCATGCTTTGCTTTTTCTTTTTTTTTTCTTTCTTTTTTAAAAATTTTTTTATTTTTATTTTTTGTGAACATACTGTACAGAGGGGTTACAATTACATGGGCAAGATAATGAGTACATTTCTTATCAAGCATTACAGCCTCCTCCTTTGTTTACCCTTCACGTCCCTTCACAACACCCCCCCCCCCCCCCCCCCCCCCCCCCCCCCCCCCCCCCCCCCCCCCCCCCGTGCCTTGCTTTTTCAGATATGGATCTTAACCTTTTTTCTTTTTTGGTTTGGGCTGAAGTATGACCCTCCTAATCCAGCCTTCTGTGTAACTGAGATAGCAGACACACACCACTGTTGCAGCTATTGGTTGAGATGGAGTCTCCTGAACTTTTTGCCCAGGTGGCCACCACCTGTGATCCTCGTGATCCTAGAAGCTGGGATCAGAGGTGTGATCTGCTGATGAGTCATGTGAGCTGCTACTTTTGAATGTGCTCTTGATGGAACTTGAGCTCATCACTTCTAATGCCTCTTCTTTCCTTGTTACCCTTCTAACCTGTGTCATTTCTATCCTTCTGTATTCTCAGCAATCATAGTTCATCTTTTAAAATCAGTTATATTTTAAAATCTGTGTTCAGAAACTCCTTGTAGCTTCCCATTGTCATTCATAATTAAAGTTTTGGCCTATGAGGTTTCATATGTTTTCCAAACCTCCCTACCTCCTCTCTCCCTATCATCTCCATCCCCCCCCCCTTTCTCTCTCTCCTGTTGTAGCTGCCTTATGCTTTGAGAATATACTCTTTTTTAAAAAAAAGATTATTATAAAGGCGATTACAGAGGGGTTACATAAGTCAAGTAATGTTCTTTCTGAACAATGTGACCCCTTGCCAGGCGCTCCCTGTTTTTCCCTCCCATCTCCACTTACAAGTTGTATAGTTCATTTTCAGCGTAGTATCTAGGGAGTATAGAATGTACTCTTTAGAGCCTTTCTACTTGCAGGCCATTTGCTCTGCCTGTAGTCCTGTCTGCTAGGCCCACTTTTTACCTCTATGCTCAGTTACCACTTCGCGAGCCTTCCTCAGATGCCATGTTTAAAACAACCACCTTTTATCTCATTCTTAGTGCTTTTTCCTTCCTCTTCCTCTTTGCTTCAGAGTATATCACCATCTGACCTAATTTATTTCTTGTCTCCCTCCCTCCATAAGTACATAAGATTAGTGAGAGCAGGAAGTTTGTCTGCTGCTATGAGCAATTGCTGCCTGCAGAAGTCAAATATTTGTTATAGATTTGTTTAATTGGTTGTCAAAATTTGATTAAACAGGACTTAAGTAACTCAAGGTGAGGAAAAGAATTATTTCCTCAAAATAACATTCCTTAGCTTCCTTCCTGACTTGCTTGACAAGGCAGAGATCAAATATCCTCTACACCTGGGGTAGCAGTCACGCATACCCTTAGAATCTGATCCAAGCAAACAGGGTTCACTGCAGCAAAGGATGAGGCTGCTATTGATGTCTAAAGCATAAACAGAGTACTAGATGTTTTGTTTGAAGTACAAGAGAGCTCTTCTTGTCAAACTATTTTCTTAAGCAAAGTTAACTGCTGATCTGCCAAGTTTCTGAGAAGACCATGTTTAGGGTTTCGCTGGTTGAGGCAGAGGTGGATTGATGACAGTCACAGATGCATGGTTTGGTGTTGAGTACAGCTGGGAGCAGGTTAGCACTAGCCTTAGAAGCAAGTAACTTTGCTGTAATTGTCTGACTTTTAGAGCCTGACCTTGTCACTCTTTGATTAGCTTTCAAAAACACATTCATCTAAGTGAATTACTAACCTGCTAGTGATGGTTAACTTGTTTCCATGCCTACAGAACCATTAATTGGCTAGACAAGTTTAAGGGCAGTTCTGGTTGTAAAACATCTTTTTCAGAGACAAGACTCTTATGGGGGTAAGAGTCACATCTCTAAGAGTAGTTTTTATTTTTGTCAAAACTTACTAGTAAGTTAATTTGCTCTCTTAAGGAGAACTTTTTTTTAACCAGCAGGCTTTGTGGCCTTCTCATATATACCCAAGAAGACAACTCTGGGCTGCCCTGGGTTCGATTCCTCAGCACCACATAAGCAAAAAAAGCCAGAAGTAGCACTGTGGCTCAAGTGGTAGAGCGCTAGCCTTGAGCTGAAGAGCTGAGGGACAGCGCTCAGGACCAGAGTTTAGGCCCCATGACTGGCAAAAAAAAAAGTGTAATATCAGAATAAGAGCTTCACAAGTACTAAATGGTAGCTAGATGTTTGCAGCATTATAAAATCAAAAGATTTGAATAAACAAGTTAAAGAAATGAAACTCATTACTCTGTTATTCAGGGTTTGTTTTTTTTTAGTGTGCGTGTGTGTGTGTGTGTGTGTGTGTGTGTGTTGGGCTGGAACTTAAAGAAATGAAACTCATTACTCTGTTATTCAGGGTTTGTTTTTTTTAGTGTGTGTGTGTGTGTGTGTGTGTGTGTGTGTGTGTGTGTGTGTGTGTGTGTGTGTGTGTGTTGGGCTGGAACTAGGGCCTCGGTGCTGTTCCTGAGCTCTTTTGCTCAAGACTAGCACACTATCACTTTGAGCCACAGTGCCACTTCCAGTTAATGGTGGTTAATGGAGATAAGAATCTAATGGACTTTCCTACCTGGGTTGGCTTTGAACTTCGAATCTCAAGTCTCAGCCTCCTAAATAGCTACGATTACAGGTGTGAGTCACCAGAGCCTGTCTCTGTCATTCAGTTTCAAAGATCTAGATTTTATGTATGAGAGAGCACGCAATATTTGGCTTTCTTGGTCTGGCTTATTTCACCTGATATGATCTATAGTTCCATCCATTTTCCTGCAAACAACATAATTGTATGCTTTGCATATAATTTTTTTTGCAACTACATACTAATTGATCTATCACTAAACTATGGAATCAGCACCTGAGCTGATTCCGTAGGTTAGCTGTTGCTTATAATAGGTGTGAAAGTATCTTGATTGATTATGGCTTAATTTTTTCAGATATAAGCTCAAGAGTGGTAGAGCAGGATCATATTGTAGTTCTGTGAGGAGCCTTTGTACAGATTTCCATAGTGGACAGACTAATTTACATTCCCACCAATTGCTGGCATCCGTCCAACACCCCCACCCCCACCCCCCCCCCCCCCCCCCGCCCCTCACTTGCGTTTGTTATTTTCTTGATAATTGCTATTCTGACTGGGCTGAGATGGAATCTGTGTTATTTTGATTCTCATTGTCTTTATGGCCAAAGAAGTTGAAAATTTCTTCTTATACTTATTAGCCATTTTGTAACTTGTATACCTTTAAGACCACTAAAGAGCTCAGGTACAATGTTTTACATATAGAAATTATTTGAGAAATGTTTGCTAATTGAAATGGAATTTCTTATGTTGATTTTTGCTAATTTTGTTTATAAAGGCACACAGAATAAATAGGAATTAATTGTTCCTTATGACTAAATTGGTAAAGAATTTGGTCTTTTATTTAATCATTGTGTTTTATTTAAATTCCTTTTAGATCTCGAGGAAACGCCAAACTTGGTATTTTTGAAACAGCCATCTTCCTTAGTCAGAGTGCTTGGTCAGAGTGCAGTGTTGCCCTGTGTTGCTTCGGGACTTCCTATTCCAGCTGTTAGATGGATGAAAAATGAGGAAGCACTTGATGTAGAAAGGTAAATGCTGTCTGCTAAAACCTCTTTCCAGCCTGATTTGAGACTTACCTAATACTACTTGGGATGATTGGTTAATTAAAAAATGATAGTTTTATTTAAGCACATTACAATGTTCACATCTCTTTGAAGTATGGTCATATGCTACATATGATGAGAATTTAAAGAAAAAAGAGCATGCATTCAAGAGGCTAAGATAATACTCCATTTGTTCTCTGTGATGCTTCAGTATACTTAGTGTACAGCTCTGGAGTCTCTAAATTTTCGGCAGAGCTTCTGGTCTTGTCTGGTCTGAGCTTTTGCTCTCACTCTCACATGCAAAACAGCAAGCAGATGCAGCCTTCATCCTCTCATTTTGCTTTTAAGCTGCATCAGCTATGTTTGTAAGTTCTGAATCTTCTGTAGAAACCTTCTCAGTAAATACCAGCCAGTCTGTCTGTGTCCCTTCCTCCTCATTTCTTTCTTAATTAATGAATACCTTCTGTAGGTGTGTTCTTATTAGGCAGCTGGGTTGGTCTATGGCTAGGTATGTTTTTGTTTCCAAAACACATCTGTCTTGTGCTACACAGATGTTTGCTGGGGTCCCTGGCCTCTCATAGATGCCAAAAGATTCCAAGTTCAAAAACAACAATATCTCTAAAAGTAACTGCAGTTGAGGACCACTCTTCTAGAGCAGTGCTGCCAGTGAAAATATAATGCATGTGTCCTTTTTAACTTGAAGTCTTGTGGTAGCCACATTAAAAAATAATTATAATGTGTATATTACAAAATATAAGTAATTTTATGGGTCCTAGTCTAGGAGGTATTAGTGGAGGCCTTGCCGGGAGCTAGAATGTTGAACTCTTAAGTAGTAATGAGAATCCCGCATTTCCTTTACTGGTCATTGGTAGCTGAATGGGGCCCTGGACTCGGCCTCCCTCTGACAGTAATGAAACAGCTTCCCCATCCACTGCCTACACCAGTGGTATCAGAAGAAAGCTAAAATAGAGAGTCTAAATAAGATAGGTTTTTCAGTTGAAAATCACTCAAGAACCAGGAAAATCCCAACTTAATTGAGAAAAGACAAGAAATGCCAACACTGAGTTGACAGAGTTAATGAATTGTCTCAGTGAGCAATTGATGTTTGCAACACACTCCAAACAAATAAAAAACAAAAAGAAATCCCAACAAAGAAAGAAGGCATTATTGGCATCCAGTGGGATCTTGGAATGTATCCCCTTGTCAGTGGAGAACACATGGGACTTTCACTGCTTTTCTTTTTCTTTCCTTTTCCATTTCCATGAGATGTGCCTCTTAACAACATTTGTTATAGCTTGAACTCAGGGCCTCACACTCAGCTTTATTAGCAAATAGATTTCAACAATATGTAGAAGAATTATGTACCATTCTAGAATTTATTCGACAGATGAAAGACTTAAGTATGTTATAATTAATCAGTGTACGGCCCCGTCCTCCCCCATTAGCAAGTTAGTAAAGATACCTTACACAATAATAGTCAGAGGAGGAAAAACATTTGACAAAATTTAACGTGTTCATGACTTCTTAAAATCTAGAAATGTACAAATCAAAACAACATTAAGATTCCGTTTCACCTCAATTAGATTGGTCAACATTGAGACTGTTTTGTTTTTCGTTGATCGTCGGGCCTGAACTCTGGGCCTGGGCACTGTCCCTCAGCTCTTCAGCTCAAGGCAAGCACTCTACCATTTGAGCCACAGTGCTGTTTCCAGCTTTTTTGCTTATGTGCTGAAGAATCAAACCCAGGGCCTCATGCAGGCAAGGCAAGCACTCTACCACTGAACCACCTTCCCAGCCCAACATTGAGAATTTGAACAATAAAAAAAATAAACTGCTGGACAGCAATGGCTCATGCTTATTAGAATGTTTTCTTATTTGGAGATTGAGATCTGAGGATCTTAGTTCAAAGGTAGCCCAAGCAGAAAAATCCTTAAGATTCTTAACTCCAGTTAATCCCTAGGTAGACTGTGGCTCAAGTGCCAGCCTTGAGTGAAAAAGCTAAGGGACAGTGCCCAGGCCCTGAGTTCAAGCAAGTCCAAGTAACACAGAAAAGTAAAAAGTTAAAAACTTAGCAAAATAACTTAATTTCAGAATATCTACAAAAACCTCCATCTAACATTAAGGACCAAGTTAAGCAAGTCCACTGTTACAGTAGCTGAAAATTTTAAACCAGTTTAATAATACAAGACAAAGGAAGGAGTAAAAGAGTCCCTATCTATAGGTAGCATGTTTTCTTTCCCTCCCTCCCTCCCTTCTTTCTTTTTGTTTTGTACTCTACTTTTTTTTTCTTTTTTTTTTTTGGGGGGGGGGGTCCGGTCGTGGGGCCTGTACTCTGGGCCTGGGCGCTGTCCCTCAGCTCTTCAGCTCAAGGCTAGCACTCTACCACTTGAGCCACAGCGCCACTTCCGTTTTTTTTTCTTATGTGGTGCTGAGGAATCGAACCCAGGGCCTTGAGCATGCAAGGCAAGTGCTCTACCACTGAGCAACCTTCCCAGCCCATGTACTCTACTTTTTGAGCTGTGTCTCTAGCCCTTTTTTCTCTGGTTATTATTAGAGATAGGGTCTAGCTGGCCTGGACATCTCTTATTAATTTATGTCAGGTACATTTGTAATACTGGATTTACTGTGTAATTCTCCAAATTAACCTTGTTCACTTTACAAAAATTTGATTAGAATATTAATTTGTGATTGCTTCCATGATGTTACTGGATTCTTTTAGTTATTTTGTTTTGATTTTTTCATAGACACATCACTCCGTAGAGTTGGTTTGGTATTCACCATCCTTGTTTATAGCTGATTTGTACCTAGTACCACACCCAGGGAGCTGTTCTCTGGCAATGTCCTCTCTTCCTTCCCTTGCTTTTTTCCTCTCATTTCTAGCCAAGTCACCATAGGAAACTTTCAGTTGGCACTGTCACCCCTGACTTACTGGTTCTGGTCTGACATTTTACCCTCTTTACTTTTTCTTGGTGTTAGTAATTTTAGTGTAGCATAGTTGTGGTGGAGACAGTCTTTGATGGATTCCAGATTTCAAAAATTACACAATTGCCAGAGAGTTGGCCAGAGAAAGCTGAGTTGGAATTGGTCATAAAAGTGACAACCCGTTGAGAATCACTACAAGTGCCAGAGGCTGTAACATTTGATTTGTCCTCGTGATATTGATACATGTGAAATATGAGCAAAGCAAATTCACACTACAATAATTTTATGTTTATCTCAGTCCATTTGTAGCCACATCATAAATAATGGTGTTTGACTATTTTCTCTATTTTCATGTAGAAAATTTCTCAGGTACTATTTTCTTTGTGATGAAATGTTTCGTTTTTTTGTTTTTTGTTTTTTTAATACAGCTCTGAAAGATTGGCCTTGCTGGCAGGTGGTAGCCTGGAAATCAGTGATATCACTGAGGATGACGCAGGGACGTATTTCTGCATCGCAGACAATGGAAATGAGACAATTGATGCACAGGCAGAGCTTACAGTGCAAGGTATGTCAGTATTTACTGTCTAGTCAAAAAGTCCCATGTACTCTCTGGTCTGCTAATTATTCAAAAGTAATGGGAGAGACCATATAATACAGCAGTTAAAACCCCAACATTTAGACCAAACTGCCTGGGCTCAAATTCTGGTCTTACACCATCTAAATACATGACTGTAGGAAACTTACTGAACCTTTGTGAATCTCATTTTCCATATCTGTAAAACGGAGACAATAAGATTACTCACTTTATTGGAATTGTTTTGAGGATCAATAGCTAGTCCTTATGGAAGACCCAGAATAGCACATAAGCTCAGTGTTAGTTATTGATGTTTTGAGTAGCAGCAACAGCAGTTGTAATAGTATGGGGGCAGAGGGTGTGATCTGGGCCATCTGGAAGTTTCTGTTCACTGTTCTTTTCTCAGGATGCCTTTTCACAGAGACATCTGTTCTCTGACCCAGAACCTTGTCTGTCAGCATTCATGTTTCTTTTTTGGGTTAGTAGATCACCCAGGAAGGGATGCAGGATGTTGATTTGGTTTGATGATTTTGTGTTTATTGCTGGCCATCACTGCAAGCATAGTTGTCCTTCCCTTTTCCTTATACACTCCCCATTACCTTGACAGGTCCTCTGAGAAAGGTGGCATTTACTCACAGCCTCCTCATTATCTCCATCCTTCCACCTTTCCTCCAAATGGAGGGGTACCAGGAGAAAGATATTTTCTCTCTCTCCTATGACTTATCTGTTTTGATCTTTGCTTCAAAGACTTGTCCTTAGGACCTTTTCCTTTTGTTCTAGGGAAATCTAACACAGCTCAGATATATAGAAATGTAGGCTGAGTTATGGTATTCAACCAACTTGAGCATGGAATGGAATAGTAGTTCTGCCATACAATGGCATGTTCTGAGCAATGAAAACTGATACACTATGACATTCAACAGAAGCCAGACACAAAAGTAAAACAGTATAATAAAATTTATTGAAGTTCAAACCCAGGAAAAGTAATGACTTGAGTGTTGCACAGCTAGGCTTCAGGTATATTAATATCATTTCTGAATCTAGATAGTATTTACAGTTCAGATGGTCCAGCCTATGTGAGTTCACCTCTTTTTTATGGTTTACAGACAAGCCATTATGTGCAGAACATATTTGGAAAATTTTTGTTTTGAGCCTTGTCCCATACCTGATAGTGTTGGTTTTATTATTTTTCTATGGTAGAGAAATTACTTTATAAGAAATTATTGGAAATAATTGGAAAATATATATATACACAGATATGTATATATATACATTGTGTTTATAAATATATTCATATGTATCTAAACATTCAGTAGTACACCTGACTTTTGTTATTTTTAAAGAAATTATAACTCTAGGAAATACCATAATGAATGTGAATGCAGAAAAGGTTATAAGTTCATTCTTCATCTGTTAAATATTTCAGACTTATTATCATTAACTACTGGGATTTGTACACATGCTGTGACGTGAGTTAGCCAATGGTGTATTTCCTGTCATCTCAGATTGTTGATAACAGTTAACATGGGTCATGAGCTGCTTTTAAAGCAGGAATTTTCCTTTTCTCTTAAAAGAGTTGTGATAGTGTATAATACAAATTTCCCTGACTTCTCTCCCAAAAGGAAAATTTCCATGTGGGTTTTAATGGAATAAATTGACAAACTCTTCATTGGCCACTGTCTTTGACACTGTCAGTACCTATAACTGATACAACTAGAGATTTAATACTTCCATCTCTCTTGCTGTTTTGACAGTGCCCACAACTACAGTTGTAAACACTACCTTCTCTCTTGGAGCCCTGCCTGATACCATTCTCCTTTCTGTTATTCTGTTATATTCTGTCCTGTGCTTACCTCTCACCTCTTGAAGGTCTTGGCCTCTCCCCTTCTCCAAGTCCCTTTCCTAAACAACACTCATGTGCAGCATGCACAACCGAATGTTATCATCTGCTGGACTCTTAGCTCCCTTGGGTGCAGTACAGAAAGCAAATTCCTCAAAGCAAATGAGACCCGAGACCCATCCATTGTTAATGATTAAAAAAAAAATTGTGTGCTAGAGAGGAGTGCTTGTGAGTTCTCCACCCAGTGTGCTGGGAGGCCAGCTTTGGTTTTCTCACTCAGCTCCATGAGCTGGGCCAGGTTAGTTAACCTGCATGTCAGTATCTTTTATTACTAAAATAAGTTCTTGGGAGCATTAAACTCCATCTAGCCTGAGATGCATATGGTGTCACCACCAAAACATAGGTTGTTATTTTTTCTTTTAAAAATATTTTAAGGGCTGGAAAGGTGGCTCAGTGGTAGAGTGCTTGCCTTGCATGCATGAGGCCCTGGGTTCGATTCCTCAGCACCACGTAAGCAGAAAAAGCCGAAAGTGGCGCTGTGGCTCAAGTGGTAGAGCGCTAGCCTTGAGCTGAAGAGCTGAGGGACAGCGCCCAGGCCCAGATTTCAGGCCCCATGACTGACCAAAAAATAAATAAATAAATAAAAGTTTGAATTAGCATACGTTAATAATATAAGAGGTTTCATCATATATGCATATATACATACACATACACACAGAGTACTTTATCTTTACCCTCAGTACCTTTTCCTTTTCTCCTCCTCCTATCGACCCCCTTCTCAGCAGATCCCCTTTTCATTTATGTTGTTATTAGTGGTTAGCAGCAACAGCACCATGTCATTTTATGTAAGTGTGCATGCGTGCGTATGTATGTGTTTGTGCTAGTCCCAGGGCTTGAACTCAGGGCCTGAGTGCTGTCCCTGAACTTCTTTTGCTCAAGGCTAGCAGTCCAACATTTGAGCCATAGCTCCACTATGGGCTTTTTGGGGGGTAGTTTTTTGGAGAGTCTTACGGACTTTCCTGCCTTTGAACTGCAATCTTCAGATCTCAGTTTCCTGAGCAGCCAAGATTACAGATGTGAGGTGCCAGCACCCAGCAACAAGTCATTGTTTGAACACAGCTATTTGCTAGGAATGTTCACTCTCTCCCCACCTTCAACCACAATTTTCTGTTACATCTTCAGGATAAGTTTACCTAACCTTCCTGTGAAGCTTTTGTTAACCTCTCCCTTTGTCATTAATGTCTATCTGACTCTTTCTTTGCCTTCTTTTTTCTTTTTTCCTACGAAAGACCAGGAATATCTATGTGAGATAAAATGAAATATGTGAGGTTAGAATCTCCATTTATGTAGATTACTAGATGAAGGATTTCTGATCATGAAGGTGTTGCAGAATAGAAGAGCCATTCACTTACCCGAAGGTGCTGTCTGTGTGCTGTTTTCACATTGAGCAAAAACAATACAGAAACTGTCTCTGTTGTGATTTTGTTACCCTAGTATGGTGGACACTTTGTGGAACAAATAAGCAAGTATCTTGGTACAGTAAGTGGATCTGTGGTAGTTTTGTTTTATTGGTACTGGGATTTGTACTTCAGGCCTTGTACTTGTAGGCAGGTGCTTGAGCCACAACTCCATCCTTTTTTTTTTTTTTTTTTTTTGCTTTATTTTTCCAATAGGGTCTGGACATTGACCTTTTAATTATATTCATTGCATAAATGAGATGCCAGGCGTGTGTGCCACCATACCCAGCATTTTTTATTGGTTGAGATGGGGTCTTGTGAACTTTTAGCCAGGGCTGGCCTCCAACTGCAATCTTTCTGTACTTAGTCTGTTCTCCCCACTCAACCCCTATCTACCCCCAAGTAGCTATTGTTACAGTTGTAAGCCATTGCACCCAACTGGATCTGCGGTTTTTATAAAACCTTACATTAAGAGGTTACCACTATGCTTACAGAGGGAATATGGTATGCTGATACAATCTTGCCATACAGCAGTGGAAGTGAGCTTCCAGCTTTCTCCAGAAACAGTGGAGGATTTAAAGTCTCTATGCTTTGTTAGTGGACCAGTACCTGTCTATATCTACCTACTAGGCTGCTAAACAAAATCTTGAAAGGATTTCAGCCTGTTTCAATGCTTGAGGGTTTTTGTTAAATTTTTGAAGAACTTGATGTCAGTTTGTTAATTACAGAAAAGAAGTTTTAAGAATATCTCTTGTGCAGTTTGTCATATAAATGGATAAAATTGCTTTGTTTTTCTACCTACAGATTTCAATGAGGATTTGACTGCTTAAGAATTTAAAGATTTAAAGAATGGAAATTTCCAAAATTATCTTCCAAACAATAACATAACCTTGAGCATTGGTGTTGGCCCCATATTATTTCCTGTTTGAATTGAATGACAATTTCCAGCTTTATATAGCAGTGCTAGTATTAAGTGATTTTCTAGTAAAATAATTTTGCACATATAATATGCTTTACCTCTAAATCCTACTTGTACATTAAGCAATTAAAATTATTCTTGTAATAATGATGGCATTAGAAGGGGTAGGGAACTATCAAGGAGAATTTGAAGCTTAATTATCTCTTTGGTAATGAAATGCATAATCTTCCATTACAACACTTATTTTCTTATGGTAATTGGCTCATTTATTCTATAGTTATCAATTTAACTTCCCAACCAAAAACATCTGTTCTTACATTGCATTTAATTGGTGTGAATACCATCTACAAAGTAGTTAAAATCTATAGAACATTTTAAGGGCATGTTTTACAATTCATGAAAAGGAAAAGTAAATGCTGAATTGAACATTGTTTATGATTTTTTTTCTAATAGTCTTTTTTTTTTTTTTTGGGTCCAGTAATGGGGCCTGAACTCTGGGCCTGGGCGCTGTCCCTCAGCTCTTCAGCTCAAGGCTAGCGCTCTACCACTTGAGCCACAGCGCCACTTCTGGCTTTTTTCTTTTTGCTTATGTGGTGCTGAGGAATCGAACCCAGGGCCTCATGCATGCAAGGCAAGCGCTCTACCACTGAGCCACCTTCCCAGCCCCTTCTAATAGTCTTTGGAAGTCTGTTTACTAAAAGTGTATAGTAAAATTATAGTAATTTGATTTTTTTAAAAAAGAGGATTGTAGCTGGGTGCTGGTGGCTCATGCCTATAATCCTAGCTACTCAGAAGGCTGAGATCTTAGGAATCCAGACAGGAAAGTCTGTGGGACTTTCATCTCTAATTACCCACCAAAAATCCAGAAGTAGAGCTGTTGCTTAAGTGGTAGATCATTAGCCTTGAACAAAAAATCTCAGGGACATCACCCAGGCCCTGAGTTCAAATCCCAGGACACCCTTTCCCATTGTTTGTTTTCTAGAGTTACTTTACTCTGCCTCAGGGAGAGGAACTTTAGTCCTAGAGGGTTAAAGAATATTGCAGTTAGAACTGTTACAGTTAGAAGTACAGGCTTTGAAAGAAGGGGGAAAAAATCACCCAAGGAAGAAAGATGGGGACAAGTTGGGGTAGGGGGAGGAGGTTGTTTATAATTTTAAAAGTGGAAGGGCCAGGTGCCATTGGCTCTTGCCTGTAATCCTAGCTACTCAGGAGGCTGAGATCTGAGGATTGCAGTTCAAAGCCAGACCAGGCAGGAAAGTCCTTGAGACTCTTACGTCCAATTATCCACCAGAAAACCAGAAGTGGCTCCGTGGCATAAGTGGTAGAGCACTAGCCTTGAGCTGAAGAGTTCAGGGACTGCGCCCAGGCCCAGAGTTCAAGCCCTACAACCGACCAAAAAAAAAAAAGTAGAAGGATAAATCATAACAATTTAAAAAAAAATTGTTACAGTGGAAAAGGAAAAAGACAAGATACAGGGTTGAAAGCTAGACTTGTTTGAATATACCTTGCTATTGTAGATTTAAACTTCAACTTTTTTATTTTGGCAGTACTTGGGTTTTAATTTAGGGCCTAGAGTTTGCTAAGCAGGCACTCTCTTGCTGAGCTTCACATCTTTTTAACCAAATAACTTCTTAGAGTAGAAAGTAAAATAAGTGGTCCTAAACACATATATAGTTGCTTGCCGAGCCACATAGAAATTCCAATTCAGACTGAAGTTTGGAGTAGTAATTGCACTGCCGGCACCTAATAGGATATCCTGTAAGGACAAAGGAACAGCAGGGATCTTCAGTTTTTTCCTGTTATAGTGTCATTGGAAATTTTATTCTGAGACCAAGGAGGTATAAGATGAAGCAAATGAGTAAATATGGTAGTGTCATTGAGAACAGGGATTTTTCATAGGAAAGAAATGACATAAATTACTCTTATACTTTCCCTGCTCCCATACTACCAGAATATTCACTTAGATTTCCTTTCCATGTCTCTTTCAAACAGTCTTGTCTTTTAGAAGTACACATTTATTTATTTTTTTGGTCTTGAGGTCTGAACTCAGGGCCTGTGCACAGTCCCTGAGTCTTTTGCTCAAGGCTAGTGCTGGACTGCTCTGAGCCACAGAGCCATTTTCAGTTTTCTATTGATTAATTGGAGATAAGAGTCTCACAGACTTTCCTGCCTGGGCTGGCTTTGAGCCATGATCCTCAGACCTCAGCCTCCCAAGTAGCTAGGATTACAGGGGTGAGCCACCAGTGCCTAGTGATGTTTATGTTTTTCTAAATGTCAACCTCAGTAGTCCAATAAGAGTAACTGGTTTGAAATTTTTATTGTTAAGTCCTGTGCCCTTTCAGGGAATTTTATTTGTGAATACTAGTTTTGTAAAACCAAGGTTTCAATTAGCTCCTGTCCTAAAATAGGAACTCAACTTACTTGTAAGTACACTAAGATCTTTCAACTCTGTAACTTTCTGACTTAAGTTTTTAATCTAGGAATGTTTCCACTCACTACTGCTTAGATCCCATAGCAGTCCTGTTATCTAGTATTGTTACAGTAGTTCCACTTTTCACACAAGCCTGCTAGTGTCCAAAGAGGCAACATAGCATCAGAGGGTGATGCAGCTTTGTCAGTGACTAGGATTTGAACCCATGCAGTCAACTACAAAATGTATATCCTTTCCTAAAACATTTAATAGAAAAGAATGACATTCCCCATGTAATTGAAGTAGCTTCACCAATTATCAATTCAGTATCAATATTGATTTATCTGTACCCTAATCCATCTCATCCCAACCCCACATAGATTATTTTGAAAGCAAAATTCAAGAATCTAATTATATTTTTTCATATTTATGTGTATATATATATATATATATATATACACACACACACATACCTAATGATATTTAACTACCTCTACAAGACATTCCTAAACATAACTGTGATACCATCATATTGGTATTTGTAAAAATTTCCTAATATCAATTATTCCTTCAGTCAGTATCCACTAATTAGCTTATGTTTTAATTTTTCACTTTTGAATTGGATAACCAAAGTATCTTCACAAATAATTTTGTTTCTTTTTTGTTTAAGACAAGGTCTTGCTACCACGTTAGCCTCAAACATGAAATCCTCCTGTCTCAGCCTCCTAAAAGCTAAAATTACAAACATACACACTACTTCAGTTTATTTCTTAATTTTCTTTTACTCCTCAGGCTTCTCCTTTATCTTTTATAATTGTTTGCAGTTTGTTAGGAACCAAGCCCTTTACCCTGTATGGTCTCCTGCGTTGTCTTTTGCTAACTGCGTTGCCATGTAAAATGTTCAATATATTCAATGCAGTCAGCTCAGTTTTCATGCTACCTTCATAATCAGATCCAGGTACTTCCATCAGGAGGTTCATAAGTGACTGACTCTCTTTTTGTGAGGGAATAGCCTTTGATAATCATTGCCCATAGTAATTGCAAAGTAATAGTGTTCTTAATATGTTATTCTCTTTCCCAATTAATTGTTAGGATAACCAGTTATCTGGCTAGTCTAAATAAAGTGCTGTTCTTACTCAAGAGCAGGATAAATGCTTGACTCTCTCCCTTTTAGTTTTCAGAATGGGGTGCTAATTGATAAGCTTCTCCTAAGATGCCCATTGTGGTTTTTTTCTTTTTAAAGCATTTTCTTTTAAAATACATTTGGTTTGTTTCAGTTCACTGAAGTTATCATTATGATGATTGTAGAACTGTCCTATCTTTGAGCAGTAGAGGAAGTCTGGGACTGATAGAATCTCCCAAGTCTTGCTTGACATGACCCTACTATTGGTCTTCAGTATTTTCTGGTTACTATTTGAAGGTGCTTATTGTGGACAAAGTCAGCAATTACTTGCTTTTTAAATATAAACTTTATCATGATTTTCTACTAGTATTTCCAATTAAATTCAAAACTGGAGTACTGGAGCTTGAACTCTAGGCTTCTTACACTTACTCAGCTTTTTTTTTTTGCTAAAGGCTGACACTCTGACTTGAGTCATACCTCCACTTCTCTTGCCTTTTGCTGGTTAATTGCAAGTAAGAGTCTTTCAGATTTGTCTGCCTAAGCAGGCTCTGAAGCAGGATTCTTACCTCTTAGCCTCTTGAGTAGCTAAGATGATAGATGTGAGCAACTGGTTCCCTGCAAAACTTTGTTTTAACTGCATCTTCTTAACTTCTGTATCTCAATTCTATGATTTTAAGAAATTGGTTCATGTATGAATAGCTACCTATTTTGACTTTCACTGTCTTAATTTTCTTTCTATTTTAAAGCCCAACCTGAATTTTTAAAACAACCTGCTAATATATATGCTCATGAGTCCATGGATATTATATTTGAGTGTGAAGTAACTGGGAAGCCAACGCCAACTGTGAAATGGGTCAAGAATGGGGACATGGTCATCCCAAGTGATTACTTCAAAATTGTAGTAAGTATCTTTCAAAGAAATGGATTTATTTATTTATTTAATTTCTTTATTGTTGGTCATGGGGCTTGAACTCTAGGCCTGGGCGCTGTCCCTCAGATCTTTAGCTCAAGGCAAGTGCTCTGCCACTTGAGCCACAGTTCACTTCCAGTTTTCTGGTGGTTTATTGGAGATAAGAATCTCATGGACTTTCCTGCCTGGGCTCATTTTGAACCTCAATCTTCAGATCTCAGCCTCCTGAGTAGTATTACAGGCATGAGCCACCAGTGGCGAAATGCATTTATTTTTGAAGCCTTCAATGAATTTTTTAAAAATTATAATCACCAAAAGATTTACCCTGTAAATACCAACTTAAGCACCATATATGAAAAGTAGAAAAATCTCTACAGTGTAATTTCTTTATTGACTGATGAGAAAGCTCAGCCCAGAAATGTTTTGGTAGTAGTGCTTGGTCACATGGCAGATCGGTGGCTGAACTGTGCTGAGAGTCTACCAGATATCTGGTACTCAAACGCAAGTGGCACCATTTTCTGGAAGTAGTGTGATCATGTATATGAGCAATCCCAATTTTCTATGTAGCTCTCTGTTCAAGGAACAGAAAGCTTTCCCTTAAAATGTGGAAAGGTGATCCTTTTGAAAAACATACCAATTACACAGCATACAATAAAAACATAACCACAAGTCAGATTCTAATTTCTAGACTCTTCAAAATAAGGTTACCCAGTATCAGAGAGACATAACAATAGATAAACAGTAAATTCATTACTATGTGCTGCCTCATTAATGTGTATAATTCGTATGTTTTTATGTGTTACAGTAAAAAATGAGATATGGTGTCACATCCCTACTATTTCAGCACCCAGGAATGTGTGGCAGGAAATCAGTGAGTTCAGGGTCAGCCTAGGCTATGTAGCAAGACCCTGTCTCTCTCACATACAATAGAAAAAGGAAATGTAAAAAAATTGTTAAATATATCTAAGACTTCTCACAATACCTTTTATCTAATATTATCATAATCTAACACCCTCGTAAATAGAATTATCTGATCTTTAATAGTAAGTCTTGATGATATACTTTAAGGTCTGAATATGATCCTCATGAAGGTTAGATGTAATTATGATTGTTAAAGACTTAATCTCTTTACAAATTTGCCATAGAAGTAATACATTCCTATTTTCTATTTTGAAATGCATAATATCATGCTACTAAAATTCATGCTGAGTGCAGTGGCTCAGGCCTATAATTCTAGCTGTTCAGGAGGCAGCAGAGATCAGAATTGCAGTGTGAGACCAGCCTGGGCAGAGACTTGGTGTTACCCATCTCAACCAATAAAAGCTGGATGTGGTGGTTCACACCTTTCATCCCAACTGTACCAGAAGCATAAATAGGATTACAGTCTAGGCTTGCTCAAGCATAAAGACAAGTTCCCATTTTAAAAATAACTAAAGGAAAAAGAGCTAGAAGCATGGCTGCCACTGGATGTGGTAAAGCCTAGTAATTGTGAGGCCCTAAGTTCAGACCCTAACATTGCTACAAAAAAACCCACCTAATTCATAAATACTTAACATTAAAAAGCAACCTGTTATAATTAAAATAGCATTTTTGTCAAAACTTGCATACTTCTTTAACATTTTTTAAACTTATTTCACCAATAATAATAGTTGGCATGTAGTACTTTGTTTTTTGTTTTGAAAAATCAGGTGTGTACCCTGACTTATTGTGGTTTAATCCGTTAAAACCATTGATGTTATAAATAATGTTAGGAAAATAATGCCTGTGTTTACAAATCCAGGCTTTATAGTGCTTGCCAGATATTTTTCCAATAAAAGTATAAGGTTAAAAACAGGGAGGCTGTGCTTTTTCCCCGTTTGTGATGGTATTATTCTAGTCACTTAGGTGACTAGAACAGGCACTTAAGTGCCTGGCCAGTACTCTAATAAAAAATTGAGAAAACAGGCACATAGGTAGATAGGATTCAACATAAAATGACTTGCCTTTCCTTCCACAAAAGAACATACCCTTGCGATTTTTAACTTATATTTGTCAACCATTTTAAATGATAACATTTTGTGTATGTTTTTCTTCCTTAGAAGGAACATAATCTTCAAGTTTTGGGTCTGGTGAAATCAGATGAAGGGTTTTATCAGTGCATTGCCGAGAATGATGTTGGAAATGCGCAGGCTGGAGCCCAGCTCATAATCCTTGAACATGGTAAGAGGCTGAGACAGTAAGTGGAAGGCAGCTTAGCCATGTGGCACTGTGACACCAGGAGACCTCATGATTGTTTATTTGGAATGCCCAGTACGTGGAATAACTAAGAGAAAAGAAATAGCATGTTTGTCACTTAGAATTACCTAGACACATTTTCCAGATGATGTTGGAAAGAAATGGACAACAAGAAAAAGTAAACAGTAAAAGTAAACAATATAAAAGTAAACAATATAAGAGCCCTACCCAAATGATTTTTTTCTAGAATCCATTCTTTTTTTTTTGCCTGTCCTGGGGCTTGAACTCTGGGTTTGGGCACTGTACCTAAGCTCCTTTTTGCTCAAGGCTAACCCTCTTCTACTAAATATAAAAGAAAATACAGAGGAAAAAATTGGTTATTTAGGAATGTAAGTACCTTAGCTAAATTAAAGATTAAGTTAAAAGGAAGATGTTGCAAGAGTTACTTTAAATTATTTAAGAATTATTCTGAATGTGACAATAATACAGGCAAGTGATGCTAGCTAGCCTGAGCTGTATAGTGAATTATTCTAGGCCAGTGTAGGCCACACAGAAAAACAAAACAAATGAAAAAGAAATTATTGCTGCAGGTATGTTAAAAGTAGTAAAGCTTAAAAGAAAATAGCTATGATTTTTTTTTGAACCATTAACTTTTTATTGTCAGTGGAAGTTAAAAATAGATTCAGGGGCTGGGAAGGTGGCTCAGTGGTAGAGTGGTTGCCTCTCATGCATGAGGCCCTGGGTTCGATTCCTCAGCACCGCAAAAGCAGAAAAAGCTGGAAGTGGCACTATGGCTCAAGTAGTAGAGCACTAGCCTTGAGCTGAAGAGCTGAGGGACAGCGCCCAGGCCCAGAGTTCAAACCCCATGACCGACAAAAAAAAAAATTATTATGTAAGACTGGAATGTAAAAACAGTAATGTGCGTTTTTATGTATGTCATTTGATACCAACTCTGATCAATGGCAGTTTTATCTAGTTTCAGCAAGGAAAGAAGGGTTGATGAAAAGGGAGTAGCATGGACTTGTTTTCAGTAAAGGAAATTCACAGTTTCCCCGCCCATTAATGACTTCTAGGATATTGTGTCCAAAACAGATAAGGATTCATATTGAACATCACTTTTTTCTTTTTGACAGAAAAATTTGTCAAAAATTCCATATAGTATCTGAGGTTATAGTGCATAACAGAAGTTCTAGAATGAGTGACTAATGATCTGGCACCACTACAAGTTTGGCTTAGGACCAGGGAATTGTTAGTCATTAATGGAATATTTTAAATCTGAAGCATGAAAATATGCAGTAGTTGGTGTTAATCAAAATATAAATTCAAATCAGTTACTTTGCTTTTTTATGACTGTAACTTTAGGAAACATTTTCCTCAAGATAACTCATACAATTTGACTTCCTAATCATGAATTCCATATCTAGGAATGCCCAAGATTGAAAAAGTATCTGAGGGCTTAGAATATGGCTCAAGTTATAGAGCTCCCACCTAGTAAGCAAGAGACCCTGAGTTCAAATGCCTGAGCTGCCCAAAACAAAGCAATGTCAGTATTCTGCTGTTAACTTACTGATTGGATCAGGTCCTGAAAGCTTGTTTTTTGTTTTTTGGGTTTTGTTTTTTTGTTTTTTAAAATTTCTGCAAAATGAAGGAATCACATGATCTGTCAGATTCCTTATCACTCTAAACACTCCATTAAATGAAGTTTTTTTAGAAATACCAACTGTATTTTAGTACACTTTTTCTAAGATACTGAAATAGCTCTGTTAATGGTGGATAGATTGGAGAGTTTCCAGTTAACAAGGCCGTATGTAGCACGTATAATGAAACAGCTTTGGTGCTGGCTTGCATCCACTTGCTGGAATTCCTGCAGGATTGTGTTTATTCATGTCTTGTTCCCACTGTGAATAGCTAAAAACCCCCCTGAACATCACTTTCCCTATCTCTAAAGTATAAACAGTTTGTACACAGGACACCTCTGAGGGATAAAAAGAATAATGGTAAGTACCCTTTTAGGTAATAGTAATTTGAAAGAACACACAGACAAAGCACTCAAAGGAATTCAGTAGTCAGCAGGGCACTGGTGGCTCATGCCTGTAATCCTAGCTACTCAGGAGACTGAGATTTGAGGATCACAGTTCCAAGTCAGCTAGGGCAAGAAAGTCCAACTAACCATCAGAAAACCAGAAGTGGTAATATGGCTCAAAGTGGTGGAGCACTGGACTTGAGCAAAAATTTTCCAGGAGCAGAACTCAGGCCCTGGGGTCCAAGCTCCAAGTCTGACAAAAAAAATATAATAAAAAGATTAACTTCATGAAGTAAACATGAGGACTTTTTTTAAAAGTATGCAACAAAAATTCACTTAATATTCATGTAAACTATTTAAATTTGCAAAGCAAAATAATCTTTTGTGACCAGATTGCAAGGCATCTGATATGGTCTGGCAAAAACTATATTTGCACTAAAATATTTTCAAATAAACATAACACATGTTCATTGTCCAAATTAAGAATGCATAATTGAGTGATAGAAAAGTAAACTTTTTAATTCTTCCTCTGTCAGTGTTAACAGTGTTAACCCATTTTGTCTATGTATTTATTCATTCAGTAACCATAGATGGAACAGAATTCTGTAAACTTGTGGCTTTATTATGCTGTGTTGGGGTTGAACTCAGCCAGCAATCAGAAGTTGCTCTGCCTTAATAGAGCTTATATTTTATTACTGTGGACAGACAAGCAAATAAAGTGTAAAGAAAATAATACAACTCTTACAGCTACTTAGAGGAAATGAAAAATTGCTTGATAAAGAACTATTGGGGGTAAAGTGCAAGTTATTTTAAATAAAGCCCTGTTTGCTCAAGTGATGATATTAAGGTTGAGACCTAGAAAATTAGGTGAAATCTGTGTTTGTTTTCCACACATATAAACACAATCATGCACACTATTTTATTGTGCTTTCTTGGTAGGTACTTCAGCTGTTTGTTGGTTTGTTTTTGGTGCTTGGTGTTTTTTGGGGGGTGGTTGTTGTTGTTGTTGCTTTAGTTGTTTCTCAGATATAATCTTAGGTTTTTGTCCAGGGCTGGCCTTAGACTGCAGTCTTCCTACTATACCTTCTGTATAGCTGTGGTTACCAGCATGGGCTACCATGCCCAGCTGTATATGCATAAATTTTATTTGCAGAAGTAACATATTTGTTGATGGTTTCACATTAGCTAACATTTTGTGGACTTATCAGTACTTACAGGTTTATCTTACTTATATTTACTATGATCCATCAGATTAGACAATGAGGAGATATGTTTTTAAGAAGTTTGAACTCAGGGCCTGGGTGCTGTTCCTGGGCTTTTTGCTCACAGCTAGCACTGCCACTTGAGCTACAGATCCACTTGGGCTTTATAGTGATTTTAGTAGATAACAATCTCACTAGGCATGAGGTACTGGCTCCTGGCTTGTTTTTTTGAGTTCTTAGTAGCAGTGTAACTTTTTTTTGGAATGTAGTTTCAGAATAATTTAACATGAACTGGGGGCAGCAGTGCATGCTGATGTCTGTGTTGTCTGTTTCTGTTTGTAATACATAGACACACACACAAACACATATATATATACATATAACATATATATATACACGCACATATATATTCTTGTCTGTACAATATAGTTCTACCAGGCTGTACAACCATCTGTGAAGAGTAATTACATCTGAAGATCAGGAGGAAAGGACAAAACCAGCATGTTGTCAATTTTTAGAAGGCCAAGTAAAAACTATTAGAAATTAAATTTGAAATATTTAAATCTACACCTGATGGTTTCTACTTTGTTCGGGGTATTTTCAAATTTTATTTCATGGAACAAAGAGCTGTGTGAGAAAAACATAGGCTAGAGTATTTGGCAGCTATCCAAATGCTGTGTATTTGCACATTTTTTTCTGGATGATGAATTATCTCACACAAGTGCTAAGAGGGTTTAGTATAGTTTACTAAACTATTAAAAACAAATTTGTTAGGCCAATTATTTTATTGAGTACGTGTTCTGAATAGAAGTGCACAGTTATCTACCAGGGATCCTACCATATAGGCTGTCAGGGGCGATGATGTGAAATCACTAGGTAGAGTAGACCTTAGAGAGCTGAGTGGTTAATTTGGAAAATCAATTAACTTGTCTTAAAATAACTTGTCAGCTGATATCTAGGTTTTACATTTCAAATTTCACTGTACTACTTTAGCAAATTTTAGTGTTTTCAAGACAAATCATGTTCTGTTTTCTGTACACTTTCTCTCAAGTTCAGTCTTGTAAGTCAGTATTGAGATGGACTTATAGAAATATGGTTTTGATAAGATGACCTTGGATAGACTGAGTTTGAGACTACCTTGTGTCTGTCATTCCAGGAAAATTACCAAAACTACTTTCTGTCACTCTTAGAACTATTGGGGTATGGCAGTATTTTGCATGGTCATCCAGTTGTTCCCAGTTTATTGAATCTGAAAGGTTCTCCCTAGTGCCAAGGTAGAAACTGTTGATGCAAATAATTGTCATACATGCTGTTTAGAATGCCATCGTGCTGCTCTGATTATGAATAGGAAGAAATTATTTCTGTCAAAGTTGACCTGCCAGGAAACCATTAAAAAAATGGCATTTGATTCAAGCCCCATGACCGACAAAAAAAAAATGGCATTTGAGCTAAGCCTAGTTTTACCAATATTGAGGAAAGTATCAATATAGTAATGTAGGTTGGAAAGATGCATGTAAACCAGGTTTTATTCAGTACCAACTCCTAACGTTGGTTTTTGGTTGAGCAGTTGGAAACTTCAGGTATGTGAGGAAATCACACTTTTAAGATTAGTGTATTGGTGGCTCACACCTGTAATCCTAGCTACTCAGGAGGATGAGATATAAGGATCATGGTTCTAAGCCAGTCCAGGCAGAAAAGTCTCTATAAGACTCATCTCTAATTAACCACTCAAAAACCGGAAGTGATGCTGTGGCTCAAGT